TTTTCTACTCATCTATATGTAGGTACGATCTATGTGTTAACCGCGCAAGAAGGTAGGTAGGTACCTACCCATTTCAAATCTAATTTAACATATACCTGTGAATAACAAACAACGATCAAAATATTTATTTGAGTTCTCCTAAGTAAAATAAAATGAATATAATGTAGTTACAATTATTGTTATTTTTGGAGTCGGTGTCAGCCAAGGAAACACTACGATATACCTAGCAATAATAATACGAGAATACTTTACGACTCGTCAACTCGCGCGTGCGACACAAGCACTTCTCACTTATAAGGTGTTGGTGACACCGACTTGGCTGACACCGACTGCAAAAATAACAATAATTGTAACTACGTTATTTTCATTTTATTTTACTTAGGAGAACTCAAATAAATATTTTGATCGTTGTTTGTTATTCACAGGTATATGTTAAATTAGATTTGAAATGGGTAGGTACCTACCTACCTTCTTGCGCGGTTAACACATAGATCGTACCTACATATAGATGAGTAGAAAAAGTAAGTTGATTATTAAGTTGTAGAAGAATATGCATTTATTTTTTTCCTTTTTAGTGCATATTAATTTGTTTTGGAAGTGTTTTTTGAAGTCGGTTTTTTTTTGTTAAAAATTTTTGTTTATCCTTCTTTCCTCCATCGTTTGCTCCCTTAGTAGGCTCTTACGACACCCACGAGATGAATGGGAATGGTGTCTATCCCCTATACCTAAGAGATAAAAATCTACTTTAAAGTGCACTATATTTTTAATACCCAAAATATTCATACGAGTATGAGCTGATGATGTATTCGTAATATCTACTGAAATGTATACTTAATTAAATTTAACTCAGACTGCCATTAATAAAAAAAATCAATAAGTTAATTTGATTACGCATGTATGTACGGTGAGCACTTTTTAATAATCTTAAAAAGGTAAGTGTAAACTACTGTTAGTGAATGTGGTAGAATATTATATTATTACTAGCTGACCCGGCAAACGTTGTTTTGCCATATATATTACGAGTATATTAAAAAAAAAGTAAAAAAAAAAAATAGGGCTATGAAAAATAGATGTTGGCCGATTCTCAGACCTACCCGATACCGACACAAAATTTCACGAAAATCGATAAAGCCGTTTCGGAGGAGTTCAACCACGCACAGGGTGTGCGTGGTTGAACTCCTCCTGTGGTCGGTTTTTTTTTGTTAAAAATTTTTGTTTATCCTTCTTTCCTCCATCGTTTGCTCCCTTAGTAGGCTCTTACGACACCCACGAGATGAATGGGAATGGTGTCTATCCCCTATACCTAAGAGATAAAAATCTACTTTAAAGTGCACTATATTTTTAATACCCAAAATATTCATACGAGTATGAGCTGATGATGTATTCGTAATATCTACTGAAATGTATACTTAATTAAATTTAACTCAGACTGCCATTAATAAAAAAAATCAATAAGTTAATTTGATTACGCATGTATGTACGGTGAGCACTTTTTAATAATCTTAAAAAGGTAAGTGTAAACTACTGTTAGTGAATGTGGTAGAATATTATATTATTACTAGCTGACCCGGCAAACGTTGTTTTGCCATATATATTACGAGTATATTAAAAAAAAAGTAAAAAAAAAAATAGGGCTATGAAAAATAGATGTTGGCCGATTCTCAGACCTACCCGATACCGACACAAAATTTCACGAAAATCGATAAAGCCGTTTCGGAGGAGTTCAACCACGCACACCCTGCCACGAGAATTTTATATATTAAATATCATAGGTGACCCGTCTGATATTTTGCTTCTTATGCCATACATTTTTTTATAAGTTGATGTGTTTTTTTTTAAATTTAAAAACAAGACGTTGTTATAAGCATCAAAGGGATTATATTCTTGTAGTTTAATTCATGTCGGCCGTCTCTTGAACGAAATATTTTCAATACATAATCTACTCATTCATAAACAAAAATTTTTAACAAAAAAAAACCGACTTCAAAAAACACTTCCAAAACAAATTAATATGCACTAAAAAGGAAAAAAATAAATGCATATTCTTCTACAACTTAATAATCAACTTACTTTTTCTACTCATCTATATGTAGGTACGATCTATGTGTTAACCGCGCAAGAAGGTAGGTAGGTACCTACCCATTTCAAATCTAATTTAACATATACCTGTGAATAACAAACAACGATCAAAATATTTATTTGAGTTCTCCTAAGTAAAATAAAATGAAAATAACGTAGTTACAATTATTGTTATTTTTGCAGTCGGTGTCAGCCAAGTCGGTGTCACCAACACCTTATAAGTGAGAAGTGCTTGTGTCGCACGCGCGAGTTGACGAGTCGTAAAGTATTCTCGTATTATTATTGCTAGGTATATCGTAGTGTTTCCTTGGCTGACACCGACTCCAAAAATAACAATAATTGTAACTACATTATATTCATTTTATTTTACTTAGGAGAACTCAAATAAATATTTTGATCGTTGTTTGTTATTCACAGGTATATGTTAAATTAGATTTGAAACGGGTAGGTACCTACCTACCTTCTTGCGCGGTTAACACATAGATCGTACCTACATATAGATGAGTAGGAAAAGTAAGTTGATTATTAAGTTGTAGAAGAATATGCATTTATTTTTTTCCTTTTTAGTGCATATTAATTTGTTTTGGAAGTGTTTTTTGAAGTCGGTTTTTTTTTGTTAAAAATTTTTGTTTATTTTTTGCTTTTTAGTGAATCTGAAGTACACTTACTAATTTGTCTGAATATAGGTAGACCTAATAAACGTGCTGCTCAAATGAGACAGCGCCGTTTGAACGAAACAAAGGGATTCAGGAAGAAACGCCTATCTCAACAGAGGCAATCTACCCTGTGATGACGGATTAAGAATACAGAATGTCACCACCCCTTTTAATCACATGGGTGTCGTAAGAGTCTAGTGAGGGAGCAAACTACGCAGGACAACAGCACTGCAAAGAGAAGGAAAACTTGAAATAAACCCTATACCAACGCGTCTGGCCAGCGTGGTATAGTAGGCCAAAACCTCTTTTCTAAGGAGAGGCCTATATCCATCAGTAGCTTATTAAAGGCTCTTGATGACGACAATTACTTGACCATAACGACGTTACTGTAGGTGACTCAAATATCCAGATAGCCCATAAAAGATTCAGCCGAGTATCGTTAATTTGCTCCTAAGAATTGAAGAGTTCCGTTACTTTGTCGTGGATCCCATCATCAGAATCTAACCAAACTCTCATCAAAGTACCCTTAAAGTACATCCATTCCAATAAAAAAAAAGTTATCGAAATCGGTTTGCGTGAAATTGAGTTATTCGTCTATTTGTCGCGAACATACTAAATGCAAATTTAAGACTTATATGGTTTTCTCATGGATGCCATTATCAGAACTAAACCAAATTAAAATGGGACCACACGGGAAGCACCAGCTTTCAAATAGAAAAAGAATCATCAAAATCGGTTCACCTAGTCAAAAGTTCTGAGCTAACAAACATAAAAAAAAAAAAAAAAAAAATACAGTCGTATTGAGAACCTCCTCCTTTTTTTGAAGTCGGTTAAAAAGTAGGTTAACGCGAAAAATGACTCGGGGGAAAAGCTAGTCTTAGAATATTAATATAAAAAAATAAATTTATCAGTTACATCCAGACGCCAATCGCGTCACACTAAATAAATAAATTAACAAAATCATGACTTGAATTAGGGACGGAATGAAATCCCAATCACAAAGTGATAAATCATATGATTTAAGAAATCATATCATCACGCCTGTGACTGATTTATAAAACCATTGGTAGTTAATTATTATTATTACACTAGCGGAAGACCTTAAAAAAAGGTCGTCATAAAATCTTTGATAAAAATAATTTTGATTGATTTTAATGCCATTTATCTTTGCCTATGACGAAATCACAATAACTTGAACAAATCGCTGTGACTAAACCAATCATTTCATCATATTAATATGATTTAAAAGTAGCAATAATTTCCATGTACAATTCGAATAGTGTCGCACTACTACCTCGGTAGTTTATACTCGTAGGAAGTGACGGATGATATAGATAGATGGTTCTGCTATACATAATCGAAACTCAAACTATTTACTGACAAAAAAAACATTATATATGTATGTTCTCTAAAGGAATTGACGCCAGTCAGCCTATTACTGCGGCCAACGCAGGTTGCGGCAATTTGAAGACATGTAATTCTTAATAGTACGAGATCCGACTGCAGAATTAGTGTACTCATCGAATGTTTGCTAAAAATCAAATTTTTAGGCATATTTATGATTAGAAAAATATATATCTACCAAGGTGCCAATAAAAATGTGGCCGCTACTATTTTTAATTAAATTATTGCAAATTGATTTTTCGGAAAAAATTTCATTCGCTGGTTTTTTAAATAAAATATCGTCCACTTTACGGCAATATACATGGAAACTGTGGAAAATCACCGTTGCCGTTGCGCACTTGGCCGCACCTCTTCGCAGCCAGGTGTAAACAGGTATGATTTTGATACGTTTATACGTTCATAACGTACATTTATTGTTTATATATCAAATTAAAGCTAATTTTTTTCTGCTTATTATGATATACGGTTACTTAATTAAATTTGCCCGCAAATAAGGGTTACTGCATATTAAAGATGGTAAATATTTAAGATAGAGTGAAAGAGAGCTAGCGCGTAACATCATTAGTCAGACGAGGATAGTGACTGCCAGCTGGACGACACTTTAAAGCCGTTGCGCATGCGTCGAATGCTAGTGTTCTCAACTGAACAGCTGCGAACATTTCATTCTAACATAAAAACCACGCTGTTTTGGAGTTCGTAATACAAAACGTTATATCTATTGTTGTTTAATTTTGTGCATCTAAAAATTATCAAATTAATTAACATAAAATAAAATCGATAAAGATGAAGGCGTGTTTTCTGTGTGACAAAAAATTCAATGTACTTGACTTTAATAATACATCATTCAAAAAGTGTTTACTAATGTTATTGTTTCGTCGTAAGAAAAAATATAAATATCATGACATTTTATTGACAGTTGAATCTACTGATGATTTTGGATATCATTCAGAGTGTCTAAAAAAAATTACAGTTCTGAAGCAAAAAGATAAAGAAGAATTCGAAGATTTTTGCAAAACACAAGCTGTAAGTAAAATTTCAATTGAACTTAAGAATAATATAGGTTATAGTTACGATATAAAAAATACAGTGCTAACTTTGAGGTTTTTTGTTAATTGTTTTTTTTTTAATTTCTTATTTTCATAGGAAAACGTAGTAACACAGTACCCTCTACGAATTCCTAAGATATTACATTTCTCACACAGGTAGAATTTTTCAGGTAGTCGGATCTTTTTGAACCTTCTTTCAAACAAACTATAAAATCATTCAGCAATATAATGTGGAGAAATAAATACTATTACCGACTTTCTTTGTTAACAATGCGTTATTTCTTTTCGAAAAAAATATATAATTGCCAATAATAGCAAAATAAAAAAAAAATTACATATTTATATTCTTTTAGATCGACTTGATATTTTCGTTTAATTATATCAAATACAATGAAAACATTGTTATTGAATGACAATGGAATATGTAACTGTACCTCCGTATTTCTTATAATTTACAGATCCCGAGCCTCCCTTCAGGTCTTCATGAACAAACTATTCCTGCTGTAAACTGTGATCTAGTAAGTATATACAGCAGTAATAATATTAATCAGATTTCAAAAAAACATTTCGAGAACCAAGCTTTTAATAAAAATTGTCTTTCAACGCATACATTTACTTTGCAGGAAGAATCAAGGGCTACATTAAACGATCAACCGACTACACTTTCAGTAGACGAACAGCTTAGTACGACTGCTTTAAACGAGCAGCCTAGTACATCTGCGCAGGAGGATGATCATTCTCAGTGTATTCAAAATTTGTCATCTGCTGGTACAATATCCCAGCAAGCTAATTCATCAACAATTATAAATAAAAAGTCAGCCTGCCTTTTTTGTGATCATGTTGAGAAAAAAGTTGGTAAGAGACGAACTTATGTAACATTCCCGCGATCAGAAGCAACGGTTGAAACAATAAAATCAATGGCCGGGAAATCGAATGACTCAAAACTATTAGCGAAACTAGAAAGCCCTCAATCTATTGCTTATCATTCGACTTGTTTGTCATCGTATCAGATTTCACTGAAACGAAAACATGAGGAACATCCAGAGCCAGGATATTGGCACAAAAATCGCCAATTTCACCAGTTAGCATTCAATGCAATTTCCGAAATAATAACTGCGGAAATTATTGAGAAAAATCGCGTTATGTATCTTACTGATTTGTTATTTCAGTATAAATCATTGCTGTTGGAATTTGCTGAAGGTCAAGTACGCGCTGAAGATTTACAGGAATATCGTGCTGAAAACTTAGAAAATAAAATTATAAAAGCTTTTGGCGATCGAATTACTGTAGAGTCATCCATGGGGACACCAAAAAGGAAAATTGTCTATCAGTATGACATGAACACGTCACGATTAGTTAGTGAAATAGCTAAGTTAGAATCAAATGAGAAGAATCGATGCAGAGATGTCGCTTACGAATTGCGAAACTGTATAACATCTGTAGAAAGTACGAAGCTGCCAGATAATCTAACTCCAGAAGATATTATTCTCGGAGAGTGTAATATTCCAGAACAACTTTTTAATTTCGTGTGCGACTTAGTTCAAGGACCAGATACTCGTCGTAAAAATTCAAGTGACGACTTAGTGAAAATTAAGTCTGTGTGTAGTGATCTGATTTATATTGTATCGAAAGGTAGAGTCAAACCGTCAAAACATCTTACGCTCGGGTTATCAATGAAATCAATGACAAGTTCACGAAAAGTTCTAACGATATTAAATAGATATGGACATACAATAGGGTATAATTTAGCTGAAGAAATTGAAACTGAGATGACGTATAGTTCCCAAAAAGAAAACAATGTAATACCGGCTGGTATTAGCCGAGTTGATGGGCTAAGCACGCACGTAGCTTTCGATAATTTTGACCGTTTCGTCGATACACCCACTGGAAAAGATACTCTGCACGATACAGTCGGTATCATTTATCAGTTTCGCAGTGAAAATGATGACCCTAATAATTTGGACAATTCGGATACTTCTGATTCAGAATCCCTCGGCGCATATTTCCATGAAGGTCACACGGATGAGTCCCTTGCAAGAGCTCGTAAGAGACGGCGTTTTGAAGCACCTCCGAAGGAAATTCGTCCCTTTATCAAGACACCTTTTACAAGTATGACGTTTCTTCCTTTTCAAACAATTACTGAAATAATCGATGCGTGTCACCCAGAAAAATTAATTGCAATTGATAAGGATTTGATTTGGAGTATGTCATTATCTCAAATTAATTCGGTACCCATGTGGTTAGGTTATAACTGCAAAATTGGCATTGATGAGAGTAAAATTCAGACAGTCGAGTACTTATCACCAATAAATGAATCTCCTACGTCGCTAGCTGTTGTTCAGGAAACTCTTAATATTGCAAAAGAAGTTGCTAAGAATTGTAATCAACAACAGATCATAGCTACTTACGATTTAGCAATAGCCAGATTAGCTATGCAGATCCAACATACTAAAAAGCCAGAATTTGACGATATATTCATTAATTTAGGTGCATTCCATACCCAAATGGCTTTCTTTAAAGTAATTGGAAAGTATATTGACTCCTGTGGATTAATAGAGATTTTAGTTGAAGCTGAGGCACTAGCAGGAGGTTCAATGAACAGTTTGTTGGACGGTAAACATTTTAATCGATGTAAGCGGCTACATCCCTTGGCTTCTGGTGCTTTACAGATTCTTCATTTTGAGAAATATTTATCTGAAATTGGCGCGGACGATGTTGAAACATTAAACGAAGACTTAAACGCAGCAATGAATACTTCACGTGGAGTCAATGAGAGCATTGTTTTACCTGATTCATTGCGTAAAATACTGGAGGGTTATAAACAGTTCCGCGAAACAACACTTCAGGGCGGTCATGGAAAGACAGCTCAATATTACTTACAGTATACTGAACTTATCAACATATTTCTTCGATTTTCTAGAAGTATTCGTTGCAGTAATTTTGAGCTCTACTTGGATTCTATCTTCGAAATGTGTGGTTACTTTTTTGCATTTAATCAACCGAATTATGCCAAATGGGCTGCTATGTATTTAAATAACTTAATCAACCTGAAGGTAGAAAATTCAACTCTACTTAAAGAATTTCATGAAGGTGCTTTTGGTATTAGACGCACAAAATCATGCTTAGGCAGATCACCTGTAGACTTGACTTTGGAGCAGACGATTAATGCTGATGCCGGTAATACCTTGACTGGTGTTAGTCATTTTACAAATTCGATCGCTGCGCGAGAAAGATGGGCTCTTAGTCATAGTGTCAGAACAAAAATTATCTCGTTTGTAAAAGCAGAAATCGGATTATCTCAAGCAGATGATACTTCTTATACGTTACAGAAGAATCGAATCGAGAAAGACTCCAAGACTTTGAGCAGTATTGTTGAAAGGATCAAGAAAACAATGAATCCTTTTTCTGAAAGTGTAGACAAAGACAGTTTGTTCAATTTGTCAACTGGTAAAGCAGCATCCTTAAATGTTACCAATTTTTTGCTCAACGTTAAGTCTTTAAGTCAAGAACAAAAGTCAAAATTTTTTTCGGATTGCTTTGAAGATTCAACAAGATTTGTGAGACCGATAACTCGTAATAAAATACATAACTTCGCTTCAGATTGTGTTAAAAAAAGTATTAAGAGTACCACCGGAGACAAAAAAACATTAATTAAAATGGAACGAGATATTTTTGGCCGTCTGTTAGCAATTGCTATAAATCAAAAAGTTGACATTGAGTACTGTCTATCATTCCCGCTAGCACCTGTACCTCCCGCACTATTTCACTGTTCAGGTGACATGATGAAGACGGACAAATCAACTTTAAGTAAACAATTGACGGCAAAGATAGCACCAGCTAATCCCGGACAAGTCGACGTAGAAATCATAGATGGTTTCTATTATATGTATCAAATTGGCTCTACTTTGCCACTAACATTTGGAAAAATAGCAGAATCGATATTGATAAAACTTTGTTCAAAAAATGCTCGGGAAGTGCATATCATATTTGATAGATATTTGACGCCTTCTATTAAAGATTGCGAACGACAAAACCGAGAAGGAATTGATATTCCATACACAATTAATGGCCCTTTGCAAACAAGAACCAATGATTTTTGTAAAAGTTTGAAGAATTCTCGTTTTAAAGAAGCCCTGGTAAAATTTTTAGCTAACCATTGGACCAATAATTCTTTTGCTACAATATTAGGAAATAAAAAAATTTATATAACCGTTGGAGAGAAATGTTTTTCATATAGTTCTGCTGAGAATCTCGTAGTGAAAACTGAAGAAAATGAATTAGCATGTAAACATGAAGAGGCTGATACGAGAATTGTTTTTCACATTAGTAAAGTACCTGAAAATTCGAAAATTTTAGTGAAAACTGCAGACACTGACGTTTTAATCATTTTACTAGGTAATATGCATAAATTTCCTAATTTGCAAATTTGGTTGGCAAACAGTACATCAAAAAAAATTAATAATAAGGACGAAGTTTACATAAACTGTACGGACTTATCAATAAAATTAGGCGCAACTTTATGCCATGCTCTTCCCGCTTTCCACGCATATACGGGTTGCGACTACACGGCTGCATTCTTCAACAAAGGGAAAGTTCGGCCCTTGAATGTTTTTATTAAGCACCCACAAATTCAACAAGTTTTTGCGTCTTTGACAGATCCCAGTGACATCTTTGATGAAACCAAAATTGATGCAGTCCAAGAGTTTACGTGCCTTATATATGGACTCCCAAAGTGTCAAAGTGTAAATGCTGCAAGAGTTTTTTTATTTAACAAAATGTACGCTTCGAAACAGAATAATGAAAAATTTATGAAAAGAGTTCAAGGTTTCGACTCAACGCACATTCCACCGTGCTGGAAATCGTTGAAACAGAAATTATTGCGGACAATCTTTGTTAATTCGATGTGGTTAAATGCCACTGAGTCAGATTGCATCAAGTTCAGCGCAGAAAATAATGGTTGGCTGCTGTTAGATGGTTTTCTAAAACCAACATGGTTCCAGGGAGACTCAACTCCAGCGCAAGTTGAGAGTGTGCTATGTGACTCGAAGAACAAATTCCGATAATGACGACGATTCTGATATTTGTAATAGCGATGAAAGTGATAGCAGCGATAATGGTGTAAGTGAAAGCTCCGATGATTCAGATTTTTAAATAAGAGTCACGGAATTATAAAATACATTTTTTTAATTTTTAATTTCCTTAAATGTTTAATTAATATGTAATCATGTGTTGAATATTTGAATAAAACATCATATTTTTTCAAACAGTACTTGCACAAAAAAATTTACTTTTACATAAGGAACCTTAGTTTCATTTTTCACCAATAATAATTTTTTGTCGTAATTTTTATAGTTGTCATTTTGAAAAAAACAAAATATTTCTTTTGGAGTATTTATTAAGTAGTCCCTACTGCTGTTTGAACCGGTGGTTGAGAACACTAGCATTCGACGCATGCGCAACGGCTTTAAAGTGTCGTCCAGCTGGCAGTCACTATCCTCGTCTGACTAATGATGTTACGCGCTAGCTCTCTTTCACTCTATCTTAAATATTTACCATCTTTAATATGCAGTAACCCTTATTTGCGGGCAAATTTAATTAAGTAACCGTATATCATAATAAGCAGAAAAAAATTAGCTTTAATTTGATATATAAACAATAAATGTACGTTATGAACGTATAAACGTATCAAAATCATACCTGTTTACACCTGGCTGCGAAGAGGTGCGGCCAAGTGCGCAACGGCAACGGTGATTTTCCACAGTTTCCATGTATATTGCCGTAAAGTGGACGATATTTTATTTAAAAAACCAGCGAATGAAATTTTTTCCGAAAAATCAATTTGCAATAATTTAATTAAAAATAGTAGCGGCCACATTTTTATTGGCACCTTGGTAGATATATATTTTTCTAATCATAAATATGCCTAAAAATTTGATTTTTAGCAAACATTCGATGAGTACACTAATTCTGCAGTCGGATCTTAGACTATAATATGTGATTGCGTCAATTCCTATTGGTATCCTAATTAAACATACAAGAGATCACAGTTCAAATTTTGACCATAATACATTAAGTTTTGAATATTTTTATTAAGCCATGGATTAGGTCTGGTCTCGTCCGCTGCATAAGACACAGAAATAAACTACATCAAAAATGTGAACTCGAACCAGGAAATATGGTACTTTCTTTATCTTACAAGAGATACAGAAATTACTGTAACAACCTTTTGAAAAACTTAAATTAGATTACGAAAAAAACAGAATTACAGAAAGCAGGTAAAATAGTAAACTCATTAAGAATTTTTGTAAAAATATTATCTTACATTCAAAAAAGCAAGAGTCACCTTTGATCTATTATCAACAGAAATAAGCCCCATCGATGTAATAAATAAAATGAACAATACTTTTGCTGATGTTGGCAGAAATTTAACAAAAAGATTATCAACTCAAATAGCTCTATCTCTAATCATATCCCTACAACATTGTCTACGACAACATTAAATTCTTTTGTTTTGCTAGACCCCGATGTGGATAAAGTATTAGGTATTACAACAGAGTTGAAAGATGTTTGCTCAGTAAGATGGGATATCTTAATACTGTAATTAAGAGCTTTAAAGATGTACTAGCTCTTCCGTTGACACAAATTTTTCAACTGTGTTTACAAACAGGTCTAAACCGCTTGTATGGGACTAATCCCACCCACACGCCCACCACTGTAACTCCTGTACACCAGGATCCACAGCAATGACCCACGATCACACCGAGTTATGACACTCGGGAAGTCCCAGGAAGAAATTAAACTGTCTTGGAACCCGCAACGAAATTAATCAGAAGAAAATTGGAGGAGTTGGAAATACAGTAAATCCACTTCCCTCCTTAGCAAAGCGGGAGACAAAGTGAAGTAAAATGGGCATTAAAAAAGCGGTAGTCATACATTTATCATCTGGAGATAATTATAGACCCATCTCAATATAATTACTAATTATAGACCCATCTCAATATTAACAGGTTCCCAAAATCCTAGAAAACTATTCCTAATGAAATATCTTGAAGATAACCATTTGTTATCACAAAACCAATACGAATTTAGACCTTAAAGATCTACTAACCAAGCAGTTCATGAATTGACAAATTATATAACTAATAATTTAGATAAAGGCTCTATAGGGATCTTTTTAGATGTTGAAAACTCTTGATACTATCTCTTGTTCAATCCTATTGCACAAGCTAGAAAAACTTGGAATAAGGGGAACACAACTTTAGCTATTTACTGATTATCTTAGTAACCGCTATCAATCTGTCAAAATCGGTCAGTGTGCGAGTTCTGAAATAAAAAATAGCTGCTATGGCTTTCTGCAAGATATGCTGCCTTAGGACCAACGTTATTCCTCATTTATATTAATGACCTATGTAGCCTAAAACTACAAAATGGTGTCATATTGTCATACGCGGACGATACAGTTCTATTATTCTCAGCTAAGTCACGACTTGAAGTATATGAATATGCAGAGAATGGCTTTAATGATGTATCATATTGGCACCACCACACCTCTGAACCATGCCTAAGGTGGCTTCCTGTCGACTATGACGGAATCGAACATCTTCAGACGGACTTTCAAAACCGACTTTACTCTGACTGCCTTCAGAAGCTCAGCCTTTATTCCGTCTTCACCCGGTGCCTTGTTGTTTTTGAGCTGATGGAGAGCCTTATTGATAAAATGTAAATTGACGACACGACAACTACCTACTTTAAAGAATGTTCCGATTAATCACTGAATGTATTTTGCAAATTTATTTAGAAATTACATTCAATTGATTTCCTTCTGTAACGGATGCTACAATCATTGCCCTTTGATAAAATAATGTATCATCCTGACACTTCGGCTATCTTTAGCAATATCATGAATTTAAAAAAAAACAAGACTCAATTATGAACTAAAATACATATTCACACATGGGCTTTTAGGTATTATGTAAAATATGAACAGTCAAAATCAAAATCATCAATGCAGTCATGACTATAATAGTCATGACTGCACTGACAGTGCAAGACAGAAGGTATTAGGAAGCTTGAATAGAATCCTTATTGATTAACTTTTTGGGTTTTATCCAATAAGAAAATTCCGAATATATTGATGATAAAGTTATCCATGTATTGTGTTAGACAGTATTGATGCCATCTCTGTCCGTTTTATCAATTGCAATTATTTTATTTTTAAGTTATCTACATTTTTAGGATTCGCGGTCACTGTGACGATCGAGTAAGTAGTGAAATAAACTCACAATAGGGCCTCTGATAACTTTTATCTGGAGCTTTACAGACATGTGGTGACGGATTAAGAATACAAATTGTCACCACCCCAATTCATCCCGTGGGTGTCGTAAGAGCCGACTAAGGGAGCAAACTAAGCAGGACAACAGCACTGCAAAGAGAAGGAAAACTTGAAACAAACCCTATACCAACCCGTCTGGTCAGCGTGGTATAGTAGGCCAAAACCTCCTTTCTAAGGAGAGGCCTATGTCCAGCAGTGAACTTGTATAGGCTGTTGATGATTACAGACATGCCCGACTAGCGATTTGTAACAGTTATTTTTTTGTACATTTGTAATGCGTACGGTCTTGTTAAAAGCTACATCTATTGGCCGCGTTGCATTGTTGTTGATTTATCTAAGGTAGTTTATAACTACAGTATTGATCTTCTGCGTTCACTGATGTTAAATGTCAAAGTAAAATGTTGAGTAGGGATAAAGTCTGGAAGCTTCCTGAACCTAGGATATATAAGTCCGGCTTTCTGCCACGGGAGACACTCTGCTATCTCGTGTCTTCCAATCTTAAATAGTGTTTTGATTGTTGTGTGATTTAATTTTCGTAATATATTATCTGTTCAAATCTACCCACGAGAGTGGTGAGTAAGGTTTTAATTCTTTTTTTTTTACCTATTTGTTTCTGGAACCTGATTAATTATATGAGTGCTAATCCATTCGTAGGGTCCCAGATTTCGGGGTCAAGACGGTCAGCCTCAGACGGCGTGCTTGCTCGTTTGTGGCCTTCTGGTTCAGAATCAAGTTTCTCGGTACCCTCTGGCAAAGCTGGTGATTGCGCGGCTCACGACGCAAGCGGACAGCCGTACCCAAGGGTTACGTACTCACTTAAAAACTTATAAATGCAATTTGTTTAACTTTCATCAATATCTAATATAAATAGCCGACTCGGGCGGAAGGAGAAGGGACCTCCCAGAGTGAAGACGAGAAGGCTCCGAGCACCATCAGCACGGCTCTAACGCGCTCCGCTGCGGTTCTTTTTTTTCTTGTACCCACACTGATTAATTTATTTAATTTCTTATTGTAAATGTAAACAAGATTTTTTTTTAAATATACATGTATGTATGACTGAGGTGTAAGTTGTTTTCCTCTAAAGAGTCCCATAGGTTTCCCACACGCACACACTTCTATTCTCATACAAGGCGCCCTGAGGTAATCTCTTGAATCTCTCCACTGGGTCAGCCGGTGAGTAGTCCGCCTGAGAAGAAAAGCGGCTACAGATTACGTGCTACATTTATATGTCATATTTACTTCATTAAGATTCTAATTATAATTTCTCGTTGGTAACATTTATACTGTTAATATTTTGTTGTAATAAGTGTTTTTTTTTAGGATTAGGATTATATCATATTATAGTATATTGATATTATTGCTATTTGTATAAATATAAATATCATAATTAACTTATTATGGTCGAACTCATCAG